GCCACTCGCTCTGGCAGTCCAAGGTGCTTCTGTCCAGGGCTGGTTGCCATCTCTTGCCCTGGAGCTCAGCTGCACATCACACAGGCCTGGCACACCACCAGCTCCCTGCCAGCAGGAAAGACGCAGACTGCAGGTTTTTGGGCACTTCCTCGTCTCGCACCCTGCCCTGTTCCTTCCTGTCTTGCCCTGCTCTGGTGAGGCTCCAGAAAAGCCTTTGGTCCCAGATAACACCCAAAGGTAGTGGAGACCCCTGGCTTGTTCGATGGCTGTGTAGGAGCCGGGGCTCTGTAGCAACAGGACACGCAAGCTCAGCAGAGACTCCTAAACTCATCGCTGAGCAGAGCCCTAGGAGGGGGACATCGCTATCCCAAGGTGGGTTTGGAAGGTGACCAGCTGGTGTCTTCTTAATCCCTTCCCTGTCTTGTCCTAACAGTTCTACCCCACTCTGGTTAGAGGAAAGTTCCTGCACGTCAGAGGGAAGCAAAGGGCCACGATGTCCCTGCAGTGACTGTCCCTTCCCTCCTAGTGACAGCCTTCCCCCGCCGCCTCTGCGCGCTCAGAAACGGTGTCCAGAGGGAAGGAGCCACACACCCTTCAGGCAGCTCTGCTGCCAGATTCTGCCTGCGAATGCTGCCTAGGCGTCCCAGCCAGCATCCCTCTCTGGAGGCTGTCACCTTGGCAGTGGGCTGTCTTTGGCACTTCTAACTCCGCAAAACAGAGTGAGCAGTAAGGTTCCCTGGGACCTGATTAGCATGCTGAAAACCGTCTACTTGGTTGAGTACCTTCTATATTCTTTTTTAAGTATTATAATTATACTGTTGTGATTGCCAAGGTAGGTGCAGTCCTGCCAATGTGGTGATGTCTCCTGCCAGCTGATGTGCACCCTGTCTTGGCTGGGTAGAGCTACTGTGGTGGGAAGCATGGCCCTGTGGGGCCAGCCTTGTCCATGCTGCTGGAGGTGCGGGGTGGTACAGCTGTTGCCCCTTCCTTGCCATGTGCACCCAAAAAGAGCCTCTAGCAGATCCCTGCTGCCAGCCCGACGGGCTGCTGAGAGCTTGTGTCATTGTGCTCCCTGTAAAGTGTCCCCTTCCCAAGAAAAAGCCCTTCTGTGGGTGGGTGACTTTGCCAGGTCGCTGTGGAGCGGCTGTTTTTGAGAGGAGCTCCTCTCCTGCACAGGCGCCTGGGAAGGTGGCAGGCGATGTTTATCTCAGTTGCGTTTTTTGGGGCTGGAGAGCATGTCTGTTATCATACAGCAGATGGGCCTGGTGAATAGATGGTGGTGACAACTGTGTTTCCTCACGCAGGCTCGTTGCCTGCTGGGAAAGGAGCCAGCCAGGCTTTGTAGGGAAAAGTACAGAGCTTGGACAGGCTGCGGTTGGGTTTCTCCTTCAGCCAGTTCATTTTTGAGAGGTAGGTGTTGGTGTGGGACAGAGGCTGCTGCTACGATCCACCGTGTGCTGGTATGGGGTGTACCGTATAAGGACGGGTTCCAGCCTTGTGCCCTCTGTGATCTTTGGACCCTTAAATTTAAGTCTGGTGCTCCAGGCAGGGACTTGAATTGTCCATCAGTCCTAGGCAGGAGTCTGGTGGGAGCAGGCTGCAGTCTGGTGTACTGCCAGTCGTCAAGGCTGGGGAACCGGTGGCTTGTGGGGGACAGCCGGAGATGCCTGTCCCGTGTCCTCTCCCATTTCTGTGTGTCTCCCACTAGCTTGCAGAGAAAGCTGTGTGGCTGCCAGGCACCACGACATGGTGCAACAGCCATCCTGGGGAGAAGCAGGCAGGAAAGTCTCCTGCCAGAGCTTACCACGCTGGTGGCCCTGCCACTGCAAGGGGAGCTACAGACCTTTGAGGGAAGAGCTGATGGCCTTTCTGGGAGGCTTTTTGGTTTTCCTGAGAGCTGTCAGTGGAGAAAGTCAAGCACGTGGAAAACCTAGCAGCAGGCGGGATGGTGTCCCTGGAACAGACAGTGTTGGGAGCTGACCTCTGTGGCGTGGGGGAGAGGAGGGGACCAGGAAGGGGACAGCGTGGCTGGGGAGCGATCGCAGCTCCCCAAGGCCAGTATCAGAGCTCCGGGGAGAGCACGTGCAGTGGCAGGGCAGAGCACTGCAGCGTCCTGGCTTCTGCCTCCCTTCTTGCTGCCTGGAGCTTGGATCTCCTGCCCGGCCAAGTGAAATGGTGCTGCCTTCCCCGAGCCCGCAGCTTGTCACAGATAGCACATCAGGCAGGTCTGGCGATGCGGTGTGTCCCACTGTCCCCTCGTGTGGTACTTCTGTCTTTTAGGTTATCCTGGTTTTTCCCTTCTCGCTATTGGTATGGGAAGGGATTTCTTTCCATGGTCCTGTGGTTGCATGGCCAGAAGCCTTTGCCTGCTGGGTAGGACCGTGGGTGCGAGAGTGATGTGTGCAGCAGGAAGATTGGTGGCTGGAGGGTCCCGCTCTGCGGTAAGCAGCACAGCATCTGCGTTTAGGGGTGGATTTTTTGGAGCCGGTGCTTTCCAGCACATTGTGCAGTGGGTAACAGCATGGGACGCTGCAGGAGGACGGATGTGGATGGCGCAGGTTGCTGACAGCCTTTGCTTGCCTTTTGCTGATGCCTGTGGTTTGATGAACCTCATCCAGTAAGACGAATGGATGTGACAGGATCATGGTGCCCTTCATGGCCCCGTTTGCTTCCCCGTCTCTGCTGGAGCCAGGCACACAGCTCCTTCCCTTTCTCTGTTTGAAGAATGATCTCCCTTTCAGACGGTTGTGGGCATGGTGCTGCCACAGGGGAGAGGACTGTACAGTGGCTCACAGCTGTAGGACTTCAGGCAGAAAAATCAATGTTTATATTTCTCTTAGCTGGGAAAGATTCCTTAAATAACTCCAGTAAATAAATACCTTGTAAAGTTCCAACTATGAAGGCATGGTATATGAACCAGAATGAATTTTCAAGCTCTCTCTTGCAATAAAATGGATTTCTTGTGTTCGGGCTTTATTTAGAGACACGTTTGATTTAAGAAGGGAGTTGAAGGTTTTATCTGATCTCTTTGTGAGGGGGAGCTGCTCTTCTGATGGCTGCGGGGCATGGTCTGGAAATGTGGTTGGATTGCTGCTGCTGCTGGAGTATTCCCAGGAGAGTTTCTTGTGTACCCAGCCAAAAGGAGGGTCACTGTCCTCCTCCCCAGGGTGGTTCTTGCTGCATCCTCTGTCCCCTCAAGACCCCGCTGCTGCAATGCAGTCTGCTCAGCCTCCTTGGGAAGCTGGTTGTGCAGGTGCTGCTGCTTGGGATGCTGGAGGCCAGCCAGGACCCAGTTCCCTCCGTGGACAGCACCGGCATCTCATAGCTTTCTGTGCTTGCCCTCTGTGGCTTAAAACGTCTTCTCTCCCTTCTTTGTTCCAGCCTGCGTTGTGGTTGAGCCTGGTCCTTGAAGGGATGCTAGAGAGGGAGCCAGTGGTGAGCCTGCTGGGGTGCAGCCCCCGTGATTTAGGCTGTTGGTTCCTTGGTCTGGGATGGCCTGAATTTGCTGTTCCTGGGAAGAGCTGAGGGCATGGGGTGAACTTGGAGGCTTCTCATGCAGAGTTGGCCCTGCCTGGGGTCTCGGGCAAGCAGGGCAGGGCGGAAGGGATTGGAAGGGGACCAGCTCAGCTGGAGAGAGGCTCAGCTGGCCTGGAGCTTGGGTTCAAGGTTGGGGCTTTAGACTTGGCTGCGTTATCTGGGAGCAAGAGTGCATGGAGGTAGGGCTCTGGGCTCGTGCTGCACGTTTACCTGAAGGAGAACTGTTTTGTCCTTGTGCGAAGGAGGAGAAAGCAGAAAGCTCTGTTTCAGCCCCACCTTTGCTCGAAGCTCCAGGAAATGACACCACCAGGGGACAAAGGGCACCGTGCAGGGCTGGGGTTCTTTCTGCTGTTCGTCAGCATGTGTGCAAGCGTGGCATTGCCTTCCTGAGAGCACCAGGAGGACCGCAGTGAGGGAGAGCTGCTCCCTGCAAGCCCAGAGGTTGCTGTGGCCTGTGGAGCTGGTGCTGCTGCTGCGCTTTGCTTTCTGAAAATTGAACCTGCCTGGAAAACGTTGTTACGACTTTCTGCCCTGGAGTGAGGTGGCTGCGGTGTTGGACCTGTTCCCCCATCAGGGTTTCAGGCATTCCCAGGCAACACTGGAGGTTGAAACCAAGGGCTGGTGCTGACAGCAGGGCTCTATGGCTTCTCCGCTTCCCAGGTAAGCGGGGCAGGAGCTGGAGCTGGGATGCGGTGCCCCACAAAGCCTGCTGGTCAGAAATGCCTTGCCTCTGCCGGAGGTTGGGGAGAGTCAGGAGCTGCTGCTGAGCTCAGAACCTGCTGGTGAGCTGTCCTGGCGCCGGCTCGCCACAACTCACCTCGGTTCCAGCATGGAGCTACCGCTGGCAGGCTGGCAGGGCCAGGCTTCTGGCCCTGAAGCCTATAGCCAGGTAAAAGCACCACCGTACACCTCAACCTGCTTTTCTGTGCTTGGTGGTGCCTGGTGTGGGATAACACAGTTATCCCAGTGTGGATAAGTGGTGTGTCCATGGTGGCGAGCCAGAAGGAGAGGAGAGAGACAGGAACAGAAAGTGAAACAGAGGTGGGCTGGAGTGACACCGAAGGAGGAAAGAATTGACCCTGGGAACAGCAAGAAGGCAGAGCAGGGTGTCACCCCCTCCAGAGAGTTACAAACAAGCTGCAGACGTACAAAATTGTCGAAGTTGGGTGCAGAGGCGGTGTGCTTGCTTGCCAGGGCGCATCCCTGCAATGGGAGAGGGGTCAGCAGGGTTGCAAGGCTGTTTCTTGTGCCCTTCCTGAAGTGTTTTGGGTGGAAGCCAGTGCATTGCCGTGCACTGGGAAAAACTGTCAGTGCCAGAGGAACGAGTGCCTGGAGAGCAGTGACTGGATTGATGGTTGTCCCCTTCCTGGAAGCAAGGTCGTGACTATGCCAGCCCAGGAAACGCATGGTACCCCCACATACCGGGTGGCCTTGGCCTCACGCTGTCTTCTGCTTTCTTCCAGCCACTCCCACTCTCCCGGCTCCATGGCTGCCACCCACGAGTGGTCCTGCACCCGCTGCACCTTTCTGAACCCCGTCGGCCAGCGGCAGTGCTCCATATGCGAAGCCCCCCGCCAGAAGCCCGACCTCAACCACATCCTACGGCTCAGTGTGGAGGAACAGAAATGGGCTTGTGCCCGCTGCACCTTCAGGAACTTTCTGGGCAAGGAAACCTGCGAGGTATGTGGGTTCACCCCAGAGCCAGGGCCCAGCGGCTCCCCCTTGCCTGTCATCAACGGCATCTTGCCCAAGCCCGCCGTGCTTGTGGAGCCCAAGGGCACGTCCAAGGAGGAGGCTGCCAAGGCAGAAAGCAGCAGCGAGGACTCGGAGGGGAAGAGCCCTGATGAAGCGGAGCTGGAGAGTGGCTGGGCTTGCCAGCGCTGCACGCTGCACAACACGCCAGTGGCCAATTCCTGCTCTGCCTGTGGTGGCCCACGCAAGCTCTCCCTGCCCAAGATCCCACCAGAGGCGCTGGTCGTCCCTGAAGTCATCACCCCTGCCGGATTTCACATGACCCCCTCTACCCCACAGCCTTTAGTCTCTGCAGAGATCTCTGATGGTGACGCTGTGGCCACCCAGGGCCCGGTGGCTATGGAACAAGAGGCCCAGAAGATACCAGCCTTCAGTCCCTTCTCCCCGGGCCTCCAGAACAACCCTGTGCCCCGAAGCCGCCGGGAGGTGCCCCCCCAGCTGCAGATGCCGGGGCCTGAAGCCTCCCAGCCCGCGGCTCAGAGCGCAGCGGGGCAGAAGGGCTCTCCGCAGGGTCAGGCCAGGGCTGCCCCGGCTGCCCGTCTCCAGGACCTGCTGTCCAACAAGCGGCTGAGCGTGCTGGAGGAGGAGATGGAGGTCAGTCCGTCCCACTGGAAGTGCAGCTCCTGCTCCCTGCTTAACTCTGCCGGGACTGGCAAATGCGAGGCTTGCAGCGCCCAGAAAGGCAGTGACACCATCAATCTGGTGGGGGACTCGGTGAGATTCACCCCGTGCAGCCCCTCCAGCCCTGACTTCACCACCTGGTCCTGTTCCAAGTGCACCCTCAAGAACCCCACCCTGGCCCAGAAGTGCAAAGTCTGCGGCTCCTCCAAGCTGCATGGCTTCCAGGAGCACGGGACACAGGGCGAGCCGTCCCCCCGCTGCCCCGACTGCGGGGCTTGTGACAAGGGCGGCTGCTCCTCCTGCAGCAGCAGGGCCCCATCCGCCCGCAAGGTCGCCCGCCTCTTCCCATCCCAGCTGCCCAGCGGCCAGGAGAGGCCGGGCCAGTGGGCTTGTCCCGCTTGCACCTTGCTCAACGAGCTCAAGGCCAAGCACTGCGTGGCCTGCCATACCCCGCAGCAGTACGTGGCCCAGCGCAAAGGCCTCAAGCCCCTGAAGAGACGGGAGAGCATGCACGTGGAAAAGAGGCGGCAGACAGACGAGGGAGAGGCCAAAGCCCTGTGGGAAAACATCGTGACCTTCTGCCGGGAGGTGAGTGCTTGCTGAACTAGTCTTGCCCCTGGTTTCACTTGGAGGGAGGCCATCTTCACGCCTCCCCCGTGGGTCTAGGGCATCGCTTGGCACAGGCAAGCTGCCTTCTGTGTCTTGGGTCCCAGAGAAGATCTTCACCTGCAACAGCTGGACGCTGGTTGTTAACACTGAAATGTAATATTTTAAATTGGTGCAAAATAATCTCTAGGGTGAAGGTGACCCATCCAGTTCACTCCCAGTCCGAGGGTGAGGAAGTCTGAGTGTTAACTCTGAAACCTAGTGACACTTTAAATCAGCGAGAGAGAATATCTCTCTGGGTTGGAGGGGACATTCTTAGGTGGTCAATACAGCTCCTTCCCTGTCCAAGGGTGGGGAAGGCTGGCAAAGATTGTGTCCAGGTTTGCTGGTGGCACTGCTCTCTGTGGGCAGCAACTACGACATGTGTGGGTGCAGGAAGTCTGGGGATGCAGCAGGCAGAGGCTCAGAGCACCGGCAGGGGTGCAGGCAGAGGAGCAAGTGTTCAAGAACCGTGAGCTGGGCCTTGGCGTTCTTTGGTTTTGGTGTTTGTGAATGCACAGCTGCAGCTGCAAATGGCTCGCCCCTGTTTTGGGAAGGACAGCTGAGGTTTAGGTGTACCCTGGCTCCAGGTGAGGGTCTCAGGAGTGCATGCTAGCGCCCTCCCCTCCCACTGTGAAGTATCTGGCTCAATCTGTTGGGTTTCAGTCTCAAACACCGCTCTGATGGCCCCATTTTTTTCCCTGAGTGGCATAAGACGCTCCTGTGAATGCTGCTCTTTCTCTGCCCTCCTTCTGGGGGAAGCCTCCAGCTCTTCTGGACCAGATGGGGAGGGAGTTGCAGTCCCATTGCAGTCCCATTTTGACATACAGACATACAGGCATGGCTTTCTTTTTCTGCCTGCTCCGAGGAGTTAATGCGAGGCACGTGCCTGTGCCTCCGCTGTGCAGACTGGGGACCACAGAGATGTTTGGCCTGGGAGGGAAGCTGTTGAGAATGATCCCGTTTTGGGGTTGTGGGTTTTCTTAATTACTACATGTCCATCCTAACAGACATGGGTGTCTTTATAGCAGAGAGACCCTGATTCTGCTTATCCCCCTCTTTTAAGCAAGTGAATAGCCTCTTTTGTAGGCAGGGAACATCTGTTACATCCAGTGGAATCAGGCCTGAAGGATGAATTATGAGAGATGGCCAAGTTGAATTAGCAGCTTGCCGATGCCAAGAAGGGAGTCTGCCTTGCCCCATCCAGCGCAGCTCTCGGTCGGAGCCTTGGCCGAGCCCGTTCAGCTCGCTAAGCCGGCAGTAATGGGCTATTAGGTCAGCGTGGGCCATCTCCTGAAAATCCCCTTAAAACTAAATCACTGCGATGTTCTGACACTGTTTGTGGTAAGTCGAGGGCTCTGCAGGTCTGAGGGAAGGACTGGCAGCGGTGGTAGGACAGTGCTGCTCCCATACGCATGCTCGCTCTGCTCTTGGTGTGCCTGCAGCCTCCCACCAATGCCCCTGTTCAGGCTGGCATGTAAGGCCTCCAAGCTTCCTTCTGTCCGCGGTGTTTCACAGGCTGTTCAGCCTTCCCCTGAGGGAGAGTGTCAGGCTGGCCAAGTTCTCCTCCGCCTGTTGTCCCCCTGCCCCAAGTCGCGTGGAGCAGCCCGCCTTGCTGCGCTGCTCACTGCAGGGATTTCTGCTCAAGCTCCTGCTGTGGGCGCTCCTTCCTTCGCTATTCCAGGGGTGTCTTTTCCAGCACTTCTCGGTGTGTGGCCCCCGCTTTTAGCTTTACCCTTTCTCTTCCGTCTGGGAGGAGAGCAGAGCTGACCTCTTCTACTAGCTGCCTCTGCACTGGGCATCTGCTTCCCTGTCTTGTGCTGTCCCCTCTCTTGCTTATCCTGCTGTCTCACACTTGTCTTGTGCTGTCCCCTCTCTTGCTTATCCCGCTGTCTCACACTTCTCTCCTCTGATTAACCATCCTTCCCCCTTTCCAAATAACAACATGCATCAGCACATTCTGCAGAGCTAGAAAGACAACCCAGGACTCTTGCTGTCTGTGCCATGCTCTGGCACCTCTGCCTGCAGAGCCTTTCTGTGTGCTGGGGGAGGCCCCATCTTTGTTTTCCTTCTTCTCTACCCGTCAGACAGTTCAGTACCGGCAGCAAGGCCATGCGGGGCAAGGCAGCAGCCTTCCTCGGCCTGTGCGGTCCCGGGGAGGTGGCCACAGAGAAGGTCACGTCTCTGGTCCAGAACAGCATGAAGAGTGTTGTTGGCAGAGCAGGAGGAGTGAAGGAGGTCTGATGCCCGGATTTATCCCCTTGCAGGAGAAATAAGCAGGGCTCCTCATCTGGCACCATCTGTGAGCAGGCTCATCACTGCCCGGGCACAAGAGGAGTTACCTGCGCTTCTTCCCGCTGCTCTGATGCTGCCCCTGCAGCTCTCGTGCCTCTCTTTCCCTCCATCTCCAGGGATATTAGTAGTGACAACTTCTCTAGCATTTAGAAATATATGAAGGGAGACATCATGGTATAAAGGTAATTAGGTTGTTAGGCAGGCTTTCCTGAAGCTGCTGGGGAATTACACTGCTGTGGCTCTTGCATTGCCTCCATCGTCAGTGCTGGTGGGCTCGCGTTCAGGCTCCTGCGCTCCTGCTGAGTGCTGTCCTGACCCTGGAGAGGCCCTGGCCACGATACCGGGGAGGCTGAAGGCTTCTTCCACCTCTGCTGCTTGGAAAAGCACCGCTGCGACTCCACAGGGGACAGAAAGCTCGCGATGCCCACAGGCTCTGACTCACGGACTGCTGCCTTGCTCTGTGTTTGCACTGCCCTGCACGGTGGGTTCCTGGGGAGCCCTGGCTACACCCCGAGAGGCGAGTGTGTGAGGTTGGGATGTGGCAAGATGAGGTTGCTGGCTGATAGGGCAGAGGCGGCTGCTTGTCAGCTGCACAGAGCAGGTGCTCCCCTTGAGAAAGCCAGCAAGCCCTGGGACGTGTCCTTTTTGGCCTGCATTGGTGTCTGAACAGTGATGTCTATTAGCTGAAAAACACCCTTCTGCAAAAGAGAAGCTGGAAGTGCTAATTGAGGCACCACGTAGAAAGCATTCATGTAGGATTGCAACAAAAGAGGAAGGACAACTACTAGTTTGGTGTGCATAAAAGCTAATTTAAATCAGAGCCGGCTTTTGCTGAAAGGATTTAATTTCATTTAATTAACAATAACAAAGAAATCCTGGTTCTTATTTCACCCTGTGTTAAACTGTCTGAAAAAGCCGCCCTTCTCCCCTTGGTGAATGCTTCCATCCTGCCTCTGTGGCTAATACCTGTGGGATTATCTGCCCTTCAGTCCATCCTATTTTATTTAATGCGAGCAGCTATTGCAGGTGGGCTCGGACATGGGATACCCTCACTCTGGAATTGCTTTCCTGTTTGTGGTCGGGTTGAATCCAATTGCGAAAGGTGCCCCTAATATCCTCCGCCGCTGTGCCTCGGGGGTGGCACAGGACTGCCAAGCCCAGCCTGTCCTCTCCGGAGCAGGGGCAGCTCAGCCCTTAGCGCAGGGCTTGGGTTGAGGAGCGTTTGCTTGCCAGGTGGCTCCTCGCAGGCTTTGCCACTTATAGAGGCAGCCAAGGTCCCCCACGGTCCAGCTTTTAGCACCAGCACAAAGTGCGAGACGGTCCCTGCCCAGGGAGGTTCCGGTGAAACAGAAAAAGGCAGATTTGAGTTGCAGGCTGGAGCTTGGGGGCCGGAGAGGTGAGTCGGCTCTTGGCAGGGCTGAACTCTGGACCTGATGCACAAAATGCATCTGTGCCGTTGTCAGCAGACACCCGGTCCCAGACCTGCTCTCCAGCACAGCATTGGAAGTGGCTGCCCAGACCAGGCAGGAGGGCTAGGGGCTCCGCTCTCGCTCCTGGGGGTGCAGTGGGAGGCTTTCCAGGCCAGCCCCGTCCCAGGAGGCCCTGGGGAGCTGTGTGCCGCACAGCTGCACACTGATGCTCTCCTTGCCTTTCACTCTCGCAGAACAAAGTCAATTTTGTAGATGACAGTTTCCACCCTGGGCCCAAGTCTGTGGGATTCCCGGAAGGCGACAGCGTGCAGCAGAGGGTGAAACAGTGGCTGCGACCCCACGAAATCAACTGTAGCATCTTCAAAGACCGATCGGTGAAGTGGTCGGTGTTTCGGACACCTAGGCCCTCGGACATCCTGCAGGGACTGCTGGGAAACTGCTGGTAAGGGGGAGCGAGCCAGGCTGACACCCTCCTACCCCTTCCTCCTTTCCCCGCCTTCATCCAGCTCCAGATCAGACCCCTCAGCCCTGCTCAAACCCATTTATACCCCCAGGCATGTACCCCATCCTCTGACTCACCCCTTACCAAGCGGCTGCGGACTGCGGTCCCCTGCGCTGCACGGCTGGCAGCTGCCTGCTGCCTGCCTGTGCCCCGCTGAGACCGTCCCACGTCCCGTCCCACCGGCAGGTTCCTGAGCGCCCTGGCCGTGCTGGCCGAGCGGCCGGAGCTGGTGGAGAGGGTGATGATCACGAGGACGCTGTGCCCCGAGGGTGCCTACCAGGTGCGGCTGTGCAAGGACGGCACGTGGACCACGGTGCTGGTGGATGACATGCTGCCGTGCGATGAGTGCGGATACCTCCTCTTCTCGCAGGTCAGCGGCCCTCGGGGGGAGAGAGGTGCTGGGAGGGGGTGGGCAGTGCTCCAGGGGCAGGGGGAGGCTCGTCCGCTCCAGGGGCATGGGGAGGCTCGTCCCCGGCTCTCCCAGGAGAGAGGACTGATGGAAGCAGTGGGAAGGGGTACTGCTGTGGTTCATGTGAGGCCCCTACTCTGTGCTGCATGGGGTGTTTGCAGCTCAGGACCCTGCTTTTTGCTGCGCCTTCAGGACAGCTGAACTCTTTGAGGCCATAATATAAATCTATTTAGGCCCCCTTTGGCATTTTCCAGGCTGCGATGGAGAAGTTTCATTTGCAGTTGCTTTTCCCCTCACTTCTCCCTGCACCACAGCCACTTCACTTGCAGGGGAAGCCATCCTTATTCTTCACAGCAAAAGGAAAATATTTTAACCTGTGTGTTTTGCACTGCGAGGGGCTGAGAGAAAGCTGTTTCTTTCCTCTGCGGGGAGGTCTGGCAGCTTGGCTTTGCCAGGGAGGGACCGTGGAGAGGGAGACAAATCAGCCTGTTTCGAGCCAGTGCCTGGTTGCTCTGAGCACGCTCGAGTGGCATCTGCTAGGATTAGCGAAGCTCCCTCAGCCACTTTGGGACGTCACTGTGCGTTACGCCCTGCCCTGCCTGCCAGCCCCAGGGGCGCTTGCTGGGATCACGTCCATGAAGGAGATTGAGAACGTCTTTATTGAAACTCAGGCGGCAAAATCTGCCAAACCAAAGAAAGTGCTGCTGTCAGGAGGAGACAGGGACCCGGGACCGCTGGGTTGGACTTCTTTCTGCAAATCCCAATCCTCTGTTTTAAAGTACACGCAGCCCCAAACCACATTGTGTGTGAGCTGTAGATGTCAGGACAGGACTCTGGCTGGGGAAACGGGGCCCAAAGATGAGTATTTGAGGAACTTTAATGTCAGTACAGCTTGCACAGCCCCCAGCCTGTGTGGGCTCGGTGGCCTGAGCCCTCCGCAGCGTGGAGGTGGCCCAGTCCTGGGGCAATTGCTAATTGCATCGGAGCTAACGGGCCTCGTGGGGCAGCTTACCCCTGGCTCTGGGCAGAGGGGCAGGGGTCTGGGCAGGGGCTTTGTGCTGTGCAGGCGCAGGTACGGGACTGCCAAGCCTGCGCTGCCTGGCTGCTTTGTCAGCAGAGTGGGTGATCCCCACAGGGACACTGAGTGGCGCAAAATGATTGCCAGCACTGCTGGAAGCCGGTCCCGTTGAGGAGAAACTTTGGAGAGGGGAAGAAGAAGGAGTCTGTGTCTACATTTTGCCTCACAGTAGACAGAGGGGATCCAGTCAGACACGTTATTTTCAGCATAAGATTTGCCTGTCTTGGTTTTTTTCTTTTCCATCCATCTTTCCTCTCTTAAAATTTCAAGTCTGCTTTTTTTTTTTTTTTTTGAAGATTGAAGGTTTTCACATGGGCTGGGCTTCTCTTGCCTTTGTTTCCAGGGGCATCTGAATCGTGACGAGATTTTTGTGCCGAGCGTTTAGCTGTGTGAACTGAGTGTGGGGGCTAAAAATGGAAAAATGGAGAGTTTTAAAAATAAAGGAAAATCAGGCTCTTAATCAGAGCTTCCTGGCTGCGGCTCAGGCAGAAATAAACATGGATTTTGTTGAGTGAGGGACTCAAAAAACAGTGAAAAGCACTTGTAAGCTTTCTTTATCCATCGGAAAGAAATCTTCACTGCCTTCCTTTCCTCTCCTAGCTCTTGGCTGCCACCTGTGAGTTGCACACAGTCACAGTGTGCCGGTGCTTTTCCCCTGCTGCCCTGCAAGCACCGGGCACTGAACACGATTTGTTGGGGACCTGGAGGCCAGCAAATGTCTCCTTGCCTTCTGTTCTCGTACGCCTTCCTCTTCGCGTCCCCACTGCAGTCAGGGGCTGGAGCAGAGGTGTCTCCCCCCAGCCTGAACGTGCCCAGGAGTAAAGCACGGCTGGTGACTGCACCCTGCGGCACGCTGAGGGACCCGCAATGGTGGCTTGGACATAGCGCTGAAGGCTGCGCCCTGAGCCCGCATTGACGTGGCCGATGGAGGCTTTGCAGACCCCTGGGTGCATTCATGCAGCTTCTGCATTTTTTTCTGAACCCATAATCAGCCTAGCGATGCCAAGAGCAATAGCCTGGCACCAGAGCAAAGCGACTCCAGGGAGAGTTTCTCCCCTACAAAACTTGCATCTTCTGGTTACATCTTGTCACTGTCCCTGTGCTGGAGTAGAGGACTTTGTCCATCTGCCTGGGAGTTTTTGGAGCTTGTCCTTGAAACAACATCTGCGTTCTGAGGTTGAAATCTAATCGCTCCCACGGCCGTGTGTGCTCTGGGCAGCCTCCTCCACCAAAGAAGTGTTGGTTTTGCTTTGCAACGGTGTGCGAGTGAAAGGCAGCTGTTCCAGATGTGCTCGATATCCTCTTCCATTATTAAACATTTTTAAATCCAGGTTGAAACAGAAGGAAGGGGCCATTAGCTTACAAGGTGGACACCCACCCCTGCCAGCCTGACTGCCTGGGCACCCCAGGGTGCAGCTGTGTCAGCATCCGGGCCTCTTGGGCGCTCACGCCAGGACATTTTCCCAAGGGGAATTAAACTGTGCAAACAAAACACTGAGCAGGCAGCGAACGGGGTCACCCTTGGCCTCATGCAGACAAGCTCCTGGGCGCTTGGCCTTGCTGCTCCTGCCTCTCCCATCTCCCATCTCCCATCGCAGGGCTGGCAGGGGTGGGCGAGCAGGGCTTTGCCTTGTCTGCGCGCGCTGCCTTTGCTTTCCCATCTCCTGCCCAGGGCGGCTCGTGACACGTTTCTCCCTCTTTCCGCAGGCCCAGAGGAAGCAGTTGTGGGTCGCCCTCATTGAGAAGGCGCTGGCCAAGCTTCATGGTTCGTACTTTGCCCTCCAGGCGGGGCGTGCTATTGAAGGCCTGGCTACACTAACGGGTGCCCCCTGCGAGAGCCTGATGCTGCAGGTCAGCTCCACTAACCCTCGCGAGGAGCCCATTGACACTGACCTCATCTGGGCCAAAATGCTGAGTTCTAAGGAGGCTGGGTAAGAGGAGGCAGGAGGGCGCCGTGGCAGGAGCATGGACGCTCGGAGCGGGGGGAGAGGGGGGCCACTCTCATTTGTAGAGGGTCAGAGGAGAGGGGCTAGTGCATTACCTAGGGTGCAGTCCACCACCCTTGGCATTCATCTGGAGTGTTGATGGAGCTCCCCCTCTAAGCTCTAAGAAATTATTTCTCCTTTGTTTAATTTTCATATGAAATTAAAATCCTGGTGAATTCCCTGTGCATGTTTACTGCTGTCTTCCGGGAGTTTTGAAGTGGCTGGCATTGAGCCTGCTTGCTTTGCTTTGAGGTTTTTTTGTATTGTTAAGTGTTTGACCCTGCACGTGTCTCCCACCCATATGTGGCATCTTTGCTGGCCACACCTGGGCATGACTACAGGCAGTCTATAAGGAGACAAAGCAAAAGCAATGTCCTCTTCCTCATCGCTCTGGCAGGAGGAGCGGGAGGGCAGTTAGGTTGACTGAAGGCAGGGTTGCTCCTGCCAGCCTGCAGTACGGGGCCACATGGGAGTCTGAGAGGTCCCAGCACGTGGTGTCCCCCCAAGCCTGGCTGGCGCAGACCTCCCGCCCCGAATAGCCTGTCCTCACCCCTGCAGAATGGGCCGGCTGCCTGCGAAGTGGAGGCAGACATACCGCTTGCCTTTCTGTGTGGCTGAGCCCTGCCAGCCATCAGAGACGGGCAGGACCCCAGGGCCTGGCAGAAGACGGGTGAGGTTTAGGCAAAGCTCCGCTGTGTGTGGACAGAGCTTTCAGCCCTGCAGGTGAGGGCACTGCTCAGAGAAGCTTGCCACGGAGCCTGGGCTCAAGCATGCACATGAGCGGGTGGAGGGAGCTCACTGCTGCCCAGGCAGAGCTCTGGCTGGCGAGGCCAGGGCGCTGCTCCAGGGAGGTTTACGGTGTGATTGCAGAGAGGGAATATCCAGGAACCTCCTGGGGGGGAAATCCGTCCTGTGCCTCGAGCGGTGGGGACGAGCTTCCGCCCCCGTGCCAGGCCTGGCAGGACACCAAGGGTTTTGTTGTCCCCCATGCAGGTTCCTCATGGGTGCATCCTGTGGTGGAGGCAACATGAAAGTGGACGATGTGGCCTACGAGAGTATGGGTCTGCGTCCACGTCACGCCTACTCCATCCTGGACGTGCGGGATGTCCAAGGCTTCAGGTGAGTTCAGGGTGGAGGCTGGCGTGGTACAGCAGACGTTCCTGCCAACCCTGGGGACAGATAATTGAGTGCATGCTGGGTAAGACCTTGGGGACTCTTCGGTGTCTGATCCTCATGGCCAGCAAGGGCTGTTTCTCCATCCCAGGGTGTCACATAAATGCTGTTGTCATATAAGCCGTCCTCGCCTGGCACAGGCTCCACGTCCAGGGCCGCTCTGCTCCAGGATGTCCTGTGGTGCAGAATGGTTCACCTGGTCTTCTCACAAGAGGCAGAGGGTTGAGCTGAGCTCTTTGAACTCAATGAGGCAATCAGAGCACCCTTCTCACCTTTGGAGGGTGGGGGGATAGGAAGGGGTGCTGCCCCCGACAGCCTGGGTGCTGTATGAAGCCCCGTTTTCATCCATGTCACTCCTGGGCTTGTGCAGCTCCGGGCACATGCTTGGCAGCCCCTTCCCGGCTGAGCCCCTTCCCCACAGCACCTGGCTGGAGGCCCTTTGGGCAGGGAAGGGCAGAGGGAGCTGCAGCAGGTCCAAAGCTGCAGGACGTGGGCATCTGGGGCCGCGGTGCGGGTGGCACATTGTCTGGGATGCTGTGAGGACTTTGAAAGGCGGGAGCAGGAGCGGCTGGCTGAGTCTGCAGAGCTGGGAAAGCATCTCAGAGGTGATCTTCCTTGTGCACTCCTTCCTCCTGGGCCTCTGACACCATTTTTCCCTTTCTCCCAGGTTACTGCGGCTCCGAAACCCCTGGGGCCGCTTCTCCTGGAACGGCAGCTGGTCCGACGAGTGGCCGCACTGGCCAGCTCCCTTGCGTCACGACCTGATGCCCCATGGCAGCAGCGAGGGCGTCTTCTGGATGGAGTACAGCGATTTCATTAAGTACGCCAGGAGGGAGTACAGCGATTTCATTAAGTACGGTAGTGCCCAGGAGGCAGAGGCTGTGGGGTGGGAAGCCAGGCAGGGGACAGAAAATGGGACATGGGGGTCAAGATGGGGCAGGCAGGACCAGGCATCCCCAGGGGGGTGCGGGTGACCTGCCGGCGCCTGCTGTGTGAGCTGCAGCATGCTGGGGCGTGGGGGCAGAGCAGTATACCTGCAGAGGACCCCGCCGGGGCTGAGCCCAGCTTCCCCACAGGTATTTTGACTCCGTGGATATCTGCAAGCTCCATTCGGACTGGCACGAGGTGCGTGTGCAGGGCATGTTCCCCAACAAGGCCAATGGGCCGGTGACGGTGACGTCGCTGACGGTGTTGGAGCGTGCTGCCCTGGAGTTTGCCCTCTTCCAGGAGGGCAGCAGGTGAGCTGGGCAGCACACGGGCTGCAGGCAGTGACCCGGACCCAGGAGAAATCCCAAACACATCGCCCTCTCACCCCGTGCCATCCCGCGGGGTGGCAGACCTCGGGGATGGGCCCCCACTGCCCTTTCTCCAGTTCTCCGGGGTCTGCTCATATTTTAGCTGAAACCCAAGCCCTGAACGCGTGCTGGTTCCTGGGGCTGGGTACTTGGGGCAGCGGGAGGACTCTTCCTCTGGATCCGCTGTCCTGCCCGTGGCCTCCACGTGCTCTGCGGGGCGGCGCTCGGGTGACGTGTGACCCTTCTACCCCTCCTGGTGCAGGCGGTCGGACACGGTGGAC